GAAAAGATAATTCAGAATATGTGTTTTTAGTTTCGAAGGTGTATTTTTAGATTGAAACAATCACAAAAAATCAAATTTTTAATTTACAATTCTTTCAACTTGAAATTATAGATTCTGTTTGTTACTCGCATATATATAAAAACACACACACACATATATATATATATATTTTTTAAATATTTTTAAGATTTTAAACATTCAAGTATTACTTCTTCATGTGCTAAATACATTTTAATATTTTTATTTACTATGTCAAGAAATTTTAATTGGTATATAATATTATCTGGGAAGATAATAATTTAATAAAATAATGCAAATTCATATATCTAATGCTTGAAATAATTATTATTTATAATGTCACTATTTTATTTTCCATTGCAATATTAAGTTTTTCTGACATTTTTCCTAATATATATTTAATTAATTAATTAAATCTTGAAGAATTCCAATTAAATTAAACATTAATTAAAATGAATATTAAGAATAAATCTAAATATATTCAATAGAAAATTATGCTACTACGATTATTTTTGGTATTTTTAATATAATATATAAAAAACTTTATAATAAACCCTATGAACACTTGGGACATACGTAATTTTACACATAATTCTGTACAACATATGATTTAGTATTGAAAATATCAAAGAATATATTAACAAAACAAATAAAATAAAATTATTAATTATTTTATTAAAATGTATGCAAAACGCAAAACCAAATTGTACCACTTTGTCATATATTTTACCTCAAATATAGAATGACCAACTATTTTCGCCTTTTAAGTAATAGAGAAAAATACTATCCCGCGCAGCAACGAAAAATAAAACACCATCGTTTCATAAAATAGCACAGAATATATTATTCTTTGAATTTTTACGAGAAAAAAAAGAATTATAAAAGCAACTGTAATAAAATTAGTGATTAGCATTAATAATAGACTTTGCTGTAGTGTATTATTAAGGGAATGAGAAAGTAGAGGCTATTTATTTATTATTTCTTGAATTGAACAAAAATGAGAGAAATTTAATATTTAATAATAGCCGAATATTGGTTATTATTCTTTAAGATGTTTAGATAATGAAATTTTAAGTGCTTTTCTCCGTTCAAAGATCTAAGCACAAATATTTTAAAAATGATAATTGTAGCCCTAATGAGCGCTAACCCTTTAACCTGTTTTATACGTGATATGAATCGAAGACGTGAATCGAAAAATGCCAAGTTTAAAGCAATTTAAAATGAATTACAGAGATAATCTATATTTAATCCATAGAGCTGAATTATAGAAAGTATCTCAATCAAATTGTACTCAATCTCTTTTAAAATGAGCTATTTCATTTAATAACTTTGTTTCTATTATGTGATAAATGTGTGCACAATCTAAAAGAATTAGACGGGCAAAAAACTTTAGGATGATCTTATCTTGACTGGGTAGTACACGTGAAAAACTGCGTAGTAGTAACAGATGGAGGTAACAGAAGATACGAATGATGTACGATAGCGTCAAATTTCAATGGAATTAAGGTACTTAATTACGCAAGCGCGGATTTACGAGGTATTAAAGAAAGCTGCAACAAAGCGGACCATCGGAAACTTTAAAGCATTGTTAGAGGATCTCGGATTATTCAATCGGTTCAAGAGGATGATGTTTAATTGTGCCCAACGAAACACAGCCTCGATACATTTAACTTGACTGGTCGCATCGTAGAAGAAATTACTTTATATACTTATAAAAAAATGAATCCTTCACCGAGAATACGTTCTGAGTAAGATAGAGTGCGAGGATTCGAAATCCGTATCCCATTATGGAGATGCGATCGTCTCTTATCCTTCTACCCCCCCCCCCCCCCGTCCGACCCCGCCGCCAGGACCTTTTAGAAAAATTGGTCTCAAACTTTTTCCAAGCTTTTCACGCGTCTGCATAAAGCTGCGCATAAAACACAGCCCGAGCTTTTGCTTTCCTTCTCTCCTCTCGGCGGAGCTGTAAAAAGAAGGAAACGAATGCCGCGGTACCCATTTGTTAGGGAAGCTCAAATTAATGGCTACGCATCGACGGCGCCGAGAAGAAATAATGTCTGTCCCGTAAATGAAACAAGCCATCGGATTGCCCGAGAATGAGCGGCGGAAGAACAATTATTAGCAAATATATAATACAATAACAGTAGTTGGTGGTGAAGCAGGCCGAGTGAAATTCAGAAACGAGGGGGTGGTTGTTGACAAACAATTATTTTCGACAATAATGAGAACGATTAAATATGGGAAATACGATAAGAGTGGAAGCTGCACAGAACGGCGCATAAATATAATTGCACTGGCTGGTAAGATCTTGAATTGGGAATCGTTTTAATGTGTTCATGTGCGCGTGCACGTAGGCACGTGTGTATGTAGCAGAAGAGCTAGGTGGGGGAAACGACGGATACAAAGTCAGTAAGAGAAGCACGATAAGAAATTGTGCGATAGAATCCGGTCGGATGGACTGTAAGGAAAGCAGAAAAAGGCAATTTGCGTTCGACAGCTAAGTTGCATTTACATTTACAAACGTTTTTTTATAACTTCTTGCTTTAAATTTTGGTTGACTTGTATTTCTCATGCAACAAATTAATGTTTGAAATATTGTAATCCTATTCCCATACGTTTGAAAATATTCAATTCCCGGTTTTCTCATTGCAACTGGATCTCTTGCTTAAAATAAAAAAATACGCTTACATCATGTAATAATATAATTATTATCAATGTTCGTGCATTTGCTTTTAATTCAATGTCGAATGCGAATCCGTCTGATAATTTGAAGTTTCAAATTAACTGAAGTTAATAGGTTTCATTTTTGGCCATTTTCTAATAAATGCAATAAACTCAAGTTTAATATTTCAGAACATATCGTTCATTTAAAATAGTATTTCTTCAACGTGAATTACATAGACTGAGTGCCATTTAATATTACATGTAAGTATTTTCAAAATTACTATGTGCAATTATACTCTAATTTTTTTAAATACTGAATAAAATTTAATGTCTACGAAATATACATAAAATGTTGATTTTTATTTTTTTATCAAACACACAGACATATATATATATATATATATATATATATATATATATATATTTATATAGAGTTTTTCTTGTTTTCACTGACAAGGCAATATGATATTATTGAATTTTGCTGTTATAATAATTATACCTCAAGGCTCCAGCGACATTAATTAATTATGTAGGGTGAAATGTAAAGGGACGAAACCATTCGATAGTCAAATTAAATAAATAATTAAAGAAGCGAATATTTCATATATGAAGTGTGTGAAAAATGCTTTAAAAAAAAAAACAATAAATAAATAAATAAAAAGAAATAAAGGAGATAACGGTACGATTGAACGATACCGAAGTTGGCATGCCAGGAATAATATTTACTCGATTCTAGCCAAGGGTTGACTATTGCAGATAGTTATTTTGAACGCTGTAATGAATGAAAATTGTTGTAGTGACATGTACTTTCACTCGATCGAACATCCATTTTCGATGTAAAACAAGTAGTAGACTCAACTTTTGGACCGCTTTTAAAGGGGCAGCGTAATTAGGGAGAATGCGTATGCCAACTTCGTACTTCAAATTTACAAACGTAATGAAGACATTTTTGTTCCTCGATTATTCGGAATAATATAATTTATGCGCGTTGTTGGACTTGAAGTCTATATATAACAATAAAATCTATATATAACAATATAAACTACAGCAATGACATAATGCAGTGGATTGTTCTTGAATTATTTTCTGCAATTATAAATAATTAGACATCTGTTTAAACGGTTAATAATAAATTATGATATATCGTAATTCCGAATATATTAAATTCCGTCCTTAATTATCTGTAAATGTTAATCCAGTGTTTTCAATAAATTTCACTGAAAAACGGTAATAATTTCGCTTTTGAAAAGTCTCGAAATTGCGATATCTTATTCGATGGAAACTTCAATATGTTTCACAATTATATTCCTAGTATTTCATTCAAATAATAATTTCCGTAATTTGTTACAATTAAGATAAAATAGTAGTATATAAAATATGGGGTAGTTTCTTTAACAATTATGTACAAATAGTGAAACAATGTTGCTAGTCATATGTATGCTTTACTTCTAATGCCTTTTAGATTTTAAATGCTAATACGAGAAATATTGTAAACTAAATTATTAAGAAAATATATCGTTTAGAACACTACTTAATACGTGTATACACATGTAGTAAGAGAAACAATATGATAAATTAGTTAGTTGATAACCTATCAATCACACCAATTCATTCTAGCTTTTATATATTAACATGACAGTAATAATAATATGTTGAGGGGGAAAAATCTCAATAAGGGACACTAGGATAGTTATCGATTCCAAATTTTTAATGTTTGCTCGATAATAACGTTATAAACCAAATCCACATATTTAATAAGAAACAATTATGGGAAGTAATGTTGTGCATTAGGCTTAACAGGTCGTGAAGCGTTGAAATGAAAATATTGATAAGAACTTAAAAATACTTTTATCGAACAGTGAATAGATCGGGCCGGATATAGGCTTATCGCATGCGCTTGGTAACGCTGGGGCGAATAAAGAAGACAGACAGCAAGAGAGAGAGAGAGAGAGAGAGAGAGAGTGTGTGTGTGTGTGTGTGTGTGCGTGTGTGCGCGCGCGTGTGTGTGTGCGTGCGTGAGTGAGGAGATAGGAAGAGAGAGCGAGAGAGAGAGTGAGAAAGGCGTCGGGCTCAAGAGTCAATTTATAATTGAGGGGTGTAACATTGGATGAACAAGCGCGGAACTGTCAAAAAGTGCGTAGCGGCAAAAGCTTTGGCTAAAGTCGAGGGAGGAATCGGTCGGTAAGGTGAGAAGAAGAAAGGAGCGTCGTCTCCTAAAGGTAAAAGGACGTCTTTGCCTCAGTCAGCTGTTGGATAATGAAAATGACGCAAAAGGTATTGGCAGTCGCAGGTGAAGCCTCGGGCCCGCCTTCACATACCTGGATGAAGTACGCTGCACTTCTCACTGACGTAGAATACGGATGAACGAAGCACGCACTTCGTAAGTTTGTATTCGTGTGCGTGTGCTTGCTATGAAGACCGCAATGTCGAAGCTCCCACTCGCTACTACTCTCTTGGCGAACTGCAGCACATAACATGTTTGTCGAGCACCAAGCAGCTCCGTCCAGGGGCTGTTCATTCTCTCCTCCTCCACCTCCCCCCTCCCCCTCTCACCGTCCATCCAATCACCTCTCTGACCTCCTTTTGCACGCGGATGTCTTCTCATCAATTGATGTACTCAATGAGACTCCACGGAGATCCTTGCACACCATCCTTGTGGCCGAGATAAATACTGTGTTGAAGCGGAGTCTGACGGATGTTTGTTTACCAACTTTAATTTTATTAAATTTACATGCTCAATACTTGAGGAATTTCAGTGCTAAAATTTTCCATTACGACAGAACCTTCCGACCTTTTAGTTTGAATTACGCGGGATTGTCGAAGCATCGGCCGAGAAGTTCGAGATCTATCGCGTGTTACATGAATATTAGTTTTTGAAATTGAGCGATACTTTTCCTATCATTAGCACGGAATTTCCCGCTCACGCCCTCCCTCATGCCTGCTCCTGCTCACTCTTTCGACTCTCTCTCTACCTCTCTTTTTCTCCCTCTTCCACATCCTCCCCACTGCCCTCTCGTCGGAAAGCAGAGAGAGAGAGAGAGAGAGAGAGAGAGAGAGAGAGAGACAACCACGACGACGACGACGACGACGACGACACCGCCGCCGCCGCTGCCGCTACCACCGCCGTTGCTGCTGCTGCTGTTGCTGTTGCTGCTGATGCTGCTGCTGCTGCTGCTGCTGCTGCTGCTGCTGCTATTGCTATTGATGTTGCTGACCCTCTCCCTCCTGCTCGCAGCAAGTATTTTGACGATGCGCGCGCTACCGTATGCTCTGCGACTGCGTTCAAGAAAAGGAGAATGAGTGAGTATGAAAAAAAGAGACGGAGAGAGAGAATGAAAAATGGTCGCAGCTTCCAACGAAGCGGATTCATCGTGTCTTTCTGTCCATCGTACTTTCTTTTCCCCACCCTGCTACCATCTTTCTCTAGACAACGCCACCCAATTTCTCCCTTTCGACGAATTCTGTTTTATATTCTCCGTGCTTACGCTCCCAAACTATTGTCATCTACAACGATAATTTTATTTTTAGTGGTATTGTTGATGTTGCTCTTGCTTACTTTTGTATTGTTGTTACCGCCGTTACCATTGTTATCATAGTCCATGGCAGTCGCAATGGTAATTTCTTTAATGAAAACTTTATGCAAAGATTATTATTAATGCATTCATTACTTACTTCGTCAAAGAGACGTATTTGTTAGTCTTTTTATCGTTTATTTACAACAATGTTTGACTTTTTGACTTGAATGATGAACAGCGCTCGATGTATATTCGTATAAAACTGTAAAATGTTAATGTTTACAGTTATTTTTCTTCGTTAACTTCTATTTCATCATTGTACATTATTGTCGTCAAAATCTGAATGCAATTTAATCAATTTTTTTAAACAATATTTTATTGTACTTACTTTAGACTTATCTACATAAAATATAGATACATTTTAAGATAAGAAAACAATTTTTTATAAATTTTGTAATTGAGTAATGCGAATTACAAACACTGTTGGAACTGATAGCAATAATAGACTTTAAACGTACATTAATAAAAATGAATTTCGAATAGACGGTATTTTTTAACAAGGATATAAATAATATAATATAAAAAAATCAAAATCATACGACTTACATGGAACTAACCTTATCTTATAATTATTTTTTAATTAAAAATACTAGCATACTCCCTACATATTATTATGATTTCTATGTAATGTTAATAATTTTTATAAATAAAAAAAAGCATAATGAATAAAATCCAACTTGATTAGATAAATTTTAATTACTTTGACGTAACAATCAAACAAAAAAATGTACTTCCCCGCACATTGATATTTATTAAAAAATATTGAAATATACACGGATGTTCAAATGTTCATAAATAAAGTACATCGTTATGGTAAAATACATCCATTGCTAAATAATTTCATTGCCTATAATGTAACCAACTCGTGTAAGGATTGAGTGCGCGAATGACAAGTGCATCGTAACGAACTGTTCAACTATAAAATAAATGCAGTCGAAACCGATTAACTGAATATCTGTCGTAGTTAAATCCGTGGCATGGTAATAAATAAATTCATCACACTTGTGGAGCGGTGGAGGTTCCAAGTATTGCAGAAAATTATATTATCTGATGAAATAGAGAGACAGTTTTCGAAAAGTAGTAAGATTAACTTTTTTTTTTATTTATTACTCTTAGCTGGAAAAATATCTGGAAAATTGTTAAAAAAAAAGAAAAAAAGAAAAATGTGTATGTAATGTGTCAGAAGAAACCATCTTCCCAAAAAAGTTATGGTCAGTTGGTCGAGGAAAAGACGTAAGCGTATATTGCGAGGGCGTCACACGATGACATATATTCACTGACATCCAATTGATGTCATTTACTCGTTCGCAAGGCGGCGGCAATCCAAGAAACAGCAACACTCGCCCCTACGATTATTACATAATTGCTGGACTCGGCGCCAATTACAGCCACTCTCCAAGTGGCTATTTTCTAATTTTCGCGAGATGCAGTTTTCCCGGGCCAATGGCCTTTTCATCCAAGCGCATTTTTTATAGGCTTATGGCTCAACGACTTAACAGCCATCAGTACTCACTCACCGAGTTAATGTTCGGTAAAAACGAACCGTTAAAAATGGGTCGACTGCGAGTTTTCTTTTATGAACTGACGAAGTGCGTCGTGAAATATGGCAACTCAACTATTTATCGGCACTTTTAACCAATATAATATACTAGCACAACTTCTACAATAAACGTTCTCATTTTTCGTCGATTCTGTTTTGATTAAATCTTTTCTTTTGTTTTCTCACGCCAAGCAGAAGCAAACGGTCCATTTGCAGGATTAGGTTGCAATATTTTTCAATGACAGCAGTTACTAAAAATATACAAAATTATACCACACTTACTTGCCATAAAAGTGTGAAAGAACTATTAAATATCATTTAATGCAGATGTATAAACAAAGAAATCTTTCAGTGCAATATCTACATTTTTTTTACATTAGATCGATTGTCCAAAAACAACTTAAATGTCGATTTGTTTTAAGTACGTTAGTCTAATAATGAGTCTAAACTCTTGTATTTATTAAAGACCAACTTCTTACGTAATTGAAGTGAATGTTACTAAATAGAGTAGAATTTATATTTTTATATTTTCATATTCTCTATTTCTAAAAATTTTAATAAATTAACCAACATAAACGCATCCTTTCCAATGCCTTTCATTTAATCCTTATATTAATTATATCTTGCCTCCTTTTTATACTTTTTCATCTCTTTGCAATTTATTGTTTGATATTTATTGTATAAAATAGATTATAAGATAGCTATTAGAATCCACTACGATCAAATTTTCATATTATTTTTTAATAAATGAGTTTTTTCGGAAATATTAAAATTGGAAATATCGTTTATCGTAAATTCAATTATAATTGCTGGTATATTTTATTTCAACACTGTTTTCAAATTAGGAATTAAAGAAAAATAAAAAAAAAAAGAATACATAATTTTTGTAATACTTAATTATATATGTGAATAAAACTTACAATATTTAAAACTTCTTGCTATACGTTGTAACTTCATATCAATTAAAAGAAGCATAAAAACTGAATGTAATTTTGATATTTTAAATAATAATGTAAATTAATAAGATGACATCAAACAACCAATATTATTATACAAATATATTGTATGCTATTGAGTAAATTAATATTGTTGAATTTTATATAATGAATTATATAATGATCGAAATGATTTAAGAAAAGTTACATTATCTTAAAATTATAATTTTGAAATTACGTAATACAAAAAGTCTTATTTGTATTTTGTACAGCTATGTTTATTACAAAAAAGAAAAATGAAGTTTAACTAAGTGATAGAAATCATGAGTATGCGGTTGTAATAAATGCAGCTCAAACCTAAAATATTATGAATAATATTAATAAAATCTAGGTTGATTCAATTTAATATTTAAATTAAATTAATTGTTGAAATATTTTTAAAGAAAAATTGCGATTTATTTTATATTTAAAAATGTATATCTCTATTTAGAGATTTTTTTATAATTTTATTATATAGATTTATTTAAAAATTCATAGTTGAAATACGGTAAAGGAAATCTTCACAATGTATTAATATGTATAAATAAAATGTTCATCTAATGTATAACTTGAATAAATATTACGCGTACACATTTATTAATAAAAATAAACTATTTTTCAAAATATACAATATTTTTTAAATTAATATTATTTCTTATGAGTTTAGTCTGATTACATTATGCAATATTAAGATGCTTTCATAAAGATAAATAGTTATGGTATTATTTTCTTTGTATAAGCATTAGAGAAAACTTGATATTGTGAATGATTGTGTCTAATAACTACATATAAATATAAATTTAAATATTCTAAAATACCATATTTTTAAATTGTTCATTTATTAATTTTAAGAAAACTTTGGCTGTTATTTAGTATAATATATCACAATCAAAATCTCCTCTTTAAAATATCGAGACAAATTGCAATTTTTCCAGTATTGATTCATCCATTGATCATTATAAACAAATTACACGTAGATATAATTACGTAATAACATTATTTTAATGCTTTATGTATTGTATAATAAAATACTTGTATTTTTATAAAAAAAAAATATGCAAATATAATGAAACGTCATGTATTATAATAATGGATAATGTAAAGTAAGATTTATTTATGTTTAACTTATTATTGCTTTTTTTTTATTGTCAAACAATACATCATCTATTTTATTTATCAGGAATAACTTAAATTTTGATCATTTTAGAATAAAACAAATATAAATAAGTTGTATTTAACTGAATTAATCCAATTAATTATTAAAAATTCATAAATTACATGTAAAACGAGCAATAATTTAAGAAAAGTATTTGAATTTCTAATTTTATTTGATTCATTCGAATCTGTATAATATATATATATAATATATATTATATATTATATATTATATACAGTTT